GTTGTAATTTTCTGAGATCAGCTTTTGCTCTTCACTCAAGTCTGTTGACTAAAACTGAGCATAATGTGGTGTTTCAACAGTGGCTCCAAGGGAGCCAAATTGGGTCTCTAGCCCATACCCACTCAAGGGTTTGCTCCAGGCACATTCCAATTATTCCAGTAGCTCAAACAGGTTTGAATTTGGGACACAGCTACACCTGCCCAATCAAAACAGCAATATTTCAAGAACTGGAAAAAAAGGAGATGCATTTCCACTCACATCAGCATTAAAAACCAGCAATTTTTGTACAAAAAGCTGCCGTGAAGCTCCATATTGGGTGGATTTACATTTCTTCCACGGAGAACAACTGTGTTGTACTGTGTCACCCATTCATAAATCCATCCATCCATAAATTCACTGTGAAACCCAGCTATGAGGAAGCCAGATTTAGAATCAAGCCTTGGAAAACTCGGAAAATAGGAATATGCCGTGCACAGCAGCCTGATTTCCAAGTGTACATAAATCCACATTGTAAAAGCAAATGCCTCTGGAAGAAGTGCAATCCTGGAACAAGTTCCCACCTAAGTGGCTGGAGCTCTGCCAGGAGTCGTACCCTGTGGTTGAGTGATGTAGCTGAGCAATGAACTCCCACACTTACAGCCAAATTCTACACAATTATTTTTTTTTTTTTCATGTGAGCGTTTCTGTTCCACCTAAACCCAAATCATCAGGTCTCATTCATCTGGAGTAGGCACTTGAACAGGGTGGAAGCAGCACAGAACTCACAGAAGTGCCTCTGGCACACCTGAGCTCTCCAGAAATGCAGAGCTCTGCAGATTGACACTTTGCAGAGACCTTTCCCTCCTGCTGCTGGAAAAGTTCGCAGAGGAGAACATCAGCTGAACAAAACCACACATTTCCAGCTTAAAACCAAATCAGCCACACTCAAAAGTGGGTTTTCCTGGAAAGGTCTCTGACAAAATCTTGAGCTAGCACAGCTTAACTCAAATTCACCGACTGTCATAACAAATGAGGTTCTCACTCTCAATACTCATCTAACCAGAGCAGTTCAGGTCCTATCTTCCTGCAACAGGAACTGGATTGCTTCCCAAAATTCAGATTATTACTCATACCGTAACAATGAACAACTTTCTCTCACTGTTGATACACTCAAGAGACCCATGAAGCAAATCTTTTAACCCAGGGCACAGTGTGACAGTGACATCAACGACAATATCCAGGAAATACAAAAGAGCACCAATAATTGAGCACCATCCTTTCTATTTCCCTGTGTGCAGCTGTTATTGACTGGGACTTACCTGGCCTTACTGTTCTTTTCCACCTGTAGGAAGAATTTCAATATAGTCAATGAGTGAACAGACCAAACACAGGCTGAAAACTTTGCTACCAGCACCCCCAGAGGCTGAACTGCTCAGGCCAACACCAGGTACTTTTAGGACAGTGAAGTAAGCTAAAAAAATATTTATTTAAAATGGTATCCCACCAAACAGCTCTAATGTAACTGCAGATCACTTTGACTTTATTTGATTCCTTCCCAGCATCATGAATGCTACCAAGAACACTGCTGATAATGATATAATTAGCATCAATACTCCCTAATAATTAGGTGTAACCCAGGCTGAAGCACATGAAGAGTCACCTATCACAGAGCAGAGGTGATGGATCCATTTTAGTTTCCTGCAGTGGGAAGCGCTGCTGCCACCCCCTCGGCCCTCAGCTCAGCACAATGAAACAGCAAAATAAAAGTCATCAAAACACCCTTTAGACATCACACTTAAACACTGTCAGCAATCCCAGAGCGAATCATCCCTTTAAAATACTGTCAACACTTCCAGGGCAATTCGTCCCCAAATCATCTCAGTGCACAAGGAAAAGGAAGTTTCCTACGCAAGGAAAGAAAAATAACTCAACATAAGCCAAAAATTATCTCTTTTAATACAAAATTCCATTCTCATAGAACAAATTTATTTTCCACTGAATAAATAGATCTGCTCACCGTCCGCGGGCGAGATTACTGCCTATAGTTACGTTGAAATTCTCTTGCCTTTCTGCGGTTTAATTAAAATATAAACATTATTTGCAACCGGCTTTACTCTGTTTGGATACAAGTATGAACACTTGGGGGTTTGGTGACATTGCCAAATGTTTACAGCACCACTCTCACTGGGGGTTGTACTTTAACCTGATTTATACAGCTCCATGTGTTACTTGCATGTAGGCTCATCGATGCAATTATTACAATTATGATGAGGAGGATCTGGCCTTTGCACTTGCATGGCTCATGCTTTTAGCACGGGCATGCTCTTCTATCATCCATTAAAAAAAAATATAAAAAAACCAAAACAAGCAACAAAGCGAACAAATGAACCAACCCCAAGGGATTAGAGCTGAAGGCAGCAGTGATAAAACACAGTATCAACTCAACAGAAGAAATTCGGATGGGTAACATTTTTTACTGGTGTAATGGAGATGATGCTGGGTTTACAGACGTTTGGAGCTGTCCCTCTGTCTCCAGACTCCCACAGCTACTACCATGACTCTCCAAGACAGACGGACCCAAAAAGCCTACCAGGAGCATCCTGGCTGGAGCTGTAAATAGCGACACTGGGGGGAAAAAACAAGTATTTATGGGTTTATCTCTGCTAAAACGCATTGTCAGGGGTGAAACCGAAGCTTTTCCCCAGAGGGAGGAGGGCGGATGGTCGGGAGAATGACCTTGGGGGGGGGGAAGGGGGGGAAGTGACAAATCCCAGTCCCCTCGGGACAGCGGCAGGAGCGCTCCGGGCAGCACCTTTGGAGCTGAGCAGGGGAATAACCTCCATAGGTCCGGATACATCACCCTGACCGCTGCTCAGGCAAATTATATTTATGGACGGTTTGGATACTTCATTATAAAAAATCGCTATTTGAAGGACTTTAGGAGCTACGGGCTGTGCCCCGCCCCGGTATAAGGCGCCCGGGGGTACATTCAGCGGGGCGGGGTTGGGGGGGGGATGGCAGGAGAGGGGTCGGGGATGCGGGAGCGGCTCCAGAGGCGGCCCCGGGAGCCGGGTCCGTGCGCGCTCCCGCGGCCGCCCCAGCGCTGGAGCGGCGGTGCCACCTGGCGGCCGCGCGGGGACGCGCACCGGCGGCCACACGAGGTGGGGGACAACGGGGACAAACACACCAAGATACCACCCGGGACCTGCCCCCGGGGCCAGGGGAATCCGATCGTCTTTGGCGTCGCTCCGCTTGCGGCGGGAGCGGGGAGGGATGCTGCTTTTTCCGGATGGCACCGCCCCATTCCAAACTGGAATTTGCGGTTTAATTCACCCCCCCACCCCCCCTCTCCTGCACGTTTTGACTGCTCAGCCCCTCACGGACTGCGGCTCCGAACACCGGGGACACCCCAGCGAAGCCTCGGTGCCTCCAGCAGGACGGGAGCCAGCGCTCCGGTGGGATGCGCTCCCAGTTTTCCCGGTATTTTTAACTATCAGCACAGCACAGCAGGGATACAGATCGCAAATCGGATTTGTGACAGTCTCGGGTGGTATCTTGGCAAGAGACGCTGTACAGGTTTTTTTTTTTTTTTTTTTCCTCTGTTAACATCACAGTGCATCGAACTGTTATTAATAAAATAGCGTTCAAGGTTATGGGAGGGAAGGAAATCTCCGTGGGGGAAGCTGAAGTTTCAGGTTCAAGCTTTGTATTCCTATATATATATATATATTTGGGGTTGTATATATATATATATATATATATATGCATTGTTTTTCAAAACGTTTTATTAGGAAAGCTATACCAGACGCATCACTGTACAATGATTAAACATTACCTTTACAATTTATATTCACTTGAAATTACAGAATAAATATATGCACATTGTTGTACCTTTGTGTGTGTGTGTGTGTGCGTGTATGTGTGCATGAGAGAAAACATTAAAAGTGCTTCCTACAAAGCTGTTAGTGAGAGGTGCCCAGTAGCTTCTTCTTTTTTTTTTTTTTTCTTTTTTTCCCCTTTTTTTCTGTATATTTGCATGTTGCTTTTATTAGGAAAGTGCGGATGTCCTCCAAAAAACCATGGCGTCATGATGAAGTGTCACTGAGCATCCCCTAGGTGTGTGAGCCACGTGGTGACATCCTTTGGGCTGCTCGGCTCCGGGGAGGAAGGGGGGGAGTTCCCCCCAGCCCACGGGATTCCCCCCGCGGCCCCCGGGCCCCGCTACCGCCCTGCGCGGAGGGGCCGGGGTGGCGGGGAGGGTGAGGGTGAGTGTGCGTGCGAGGGAGGGAGAGAGACAAGAGTGAGACATTCGAGCAAGACCCTCCCCTCCCTTCCCCTCTTGCAGTTTCCAGGCATGCAGCAAACTGCGCTCGTTTGCTTCTTTGCATTTTTTGTTTTCTTTTAAATAAATGTACAGAATCTGTGCCATGATGGGCAGGAAGAAAGCAAGCCACAAAATGCCATCTTCCCTCCCCCTCCCCTCCAAGGGAAAATATCAAGGAAGTTTACTCGCAACGGAAAAAAAAAAAAAAAAAAAAAAAAAAAAAAAAAAAAAAAAAAAAAAAAAAAAAAAAAAAAAAAAAAAAAAAAAAAAAAAAAAAAAAAAAAAAAAAAAAAAAAAAAAAAAAAAAAAAAAAAAAAAAAAAAAAAAAAAAAAAAAAAAAAAAAAAAAAAAAGCCAACAAACAAAACAAAGGACAAGAATAAAGAAAAAAAAAAGAAAAAAAAAGAAAAATAAAAAAGAGAGAGAGACACACACATAGAATTTACTTAATCAGGATCAATACAAAGATCCCCCATAATAATAATAATATAATAATAATAATATACCTTTATGACATGGCACAGTCAAAGTCTCAGTTTCAGTATAAAAAATAATGATTGATTAACATCTGCTGGCAAAAGTCTGCGAAGGCACTTCGTCGATTACTGATCTGAGAAGGGCCCTGCCCCGCAGCGCGCACATCTGGCGGGGCAGAGCGCACAGCTGTATCCTCTGCCCGCGGGCGGCGGGGCCGGGCGGGCGGCGGGGCGGCGGTCAGAACCGGTACGTGGTCTTCTCCAGGACTTCGAGGTAATCCGGCTTGGTTTGGAGTTTGGCCCTTAACTCGAGGTATTCGCTTGTGGGGGTTTGGTGGTCCGGGAAGCCCTTGCCGGCCGCGAAGAGGAGCGTCTCCTTCAGCCTGGCGTCCTGCTGCAGGTCCGGGTATTGCATGCCGGGGGGGTGGACGTGCAGTTCCTTCAGCTTGGGCACGGTGCCGTACAGGCAGTCCACGAAGCCCACGGCGCAGGGCGGCGGGCGGTCGCGGTCCCGCGGGGCTCCCCCCGCCGCCGCCGCCCCGAGCGCGCCCGCCGCCAGCCCTCCGCCTGCGGGGTGCTGGGGGTGCACGGCCACGATGGTGTTGAGCTGCGAGCTGGACACGGCCAGGCTCCACTCCTGCTCCTTCTCCAGCAAGGTGCGGTAGCTGCTGCCGGGCTCCGGAGCGGCGGCGGGGGCGGCGGGGTGGGCGAAGCCGCGCTCGCCGCCGCCCCGCAGCAGCTCGGCCGACTCCCCTCCACCTCCACCTCCGCCGCCGCCGCCGCCGCCGCCCGCCGCCTCCTCCTCCTCCCGCGGCTTGTAGATGGGGTTGTTGCACATCTGGGTCACCGGGTGCGGGATGTAGTCGTAGACGTGGCCCGCCGGGGGCGCCTTCTCCGGGGACCGCTCGCCGGTGCCCCCCCCGCCACCGCCGCCGCCGCCGCCGCCCTCGGGGAAGAGCCTCGGGCAGCGCAGCGGCACCGCGCCCAGGTCCGCCGCCTCCGCCCGCGGGCCGCGGAACGGCAACTTCCTCCGGCGGCGCCGCAGCACGAAGGCGAAGAGCCCGGCGGCCACCAGCACGGCGGAGAAGAAGAGGACGAGCAGGCTGAGGATGAGCACGGACAGCGGCACGGCGGCGGCGGCCGCGGCCGGGGGCAGCTCGTAGGCGGCCGCGCCGGTGGCCGCGGGCGGCGGAGGGGCGGCGGGGGGCGAGGCGGCGGCGGCGGCGGGGCGCAGGGCGGCGGGGCACAGCGCGGCCAGCTCCAGGGAGCGCAGGTCGCGGCGGGCCAGCGGCTCGGGGCTGAAGCACAGTACCTCGCCCACCACGCTGACCGAGCTGAGCCCCTCCAGCCACTGCTTGAGCGGCACCAGCTCGCAGGTGCAGTCCCAGGGGTTGAGCTTCAGGTCGATCTGCACGATGGCGTGCAGGTGCTCCAGCACCCCGGCCACCGGCAGCGCCAGGAAGTGGTTGTTGCGCAGGTTGAGGCGCGCCAGGGAGGTGCCGGCGAAGGCGTCGGTGGGCAGCGTGCGGAGCAGGTTGTCGTTGAGGAAGAGGAGCTTCAGGTTGGGCATGAGGCTGAAGGCCGCCGGCTGGATTTCCCTGATCAGGTTGTACTCGAAGTACAGGTAATGCAAACTCTGCAGGCCCCGGAACATGCCCGGGGTGAGCCGCTCGATGTCGTTCCCGTTCAGGTACAGGCTCTTGAGGTTGGGCAGGTTGATGAACGCCCCGTCCTGCACGTAGGAGATCCGGTTGTTCCCCAGGTGTAAGAGATCCAAGGAGGAAAAATTCCAGAAATCGGAGCGGTAGATTTTCTGGATCAAATTCCCGTTCAGGTACAGCTTCTTGGCGTTCAAGGGCCTGGGCAGGAGCTCGGAGATGTTGTGGAACCCTCGCTCCTTGCAGTTGACCGTCAGGCCCAGGTCGTTGATGTGCAAACTGCAAGAGCAGCCGGTGGGGCAGATGATGGGGATGGGGGGCCGGGTCTGGTAGGCAGCCACGGGGGGTTGGTTGGGCCCGGGGTACAGGCCGCGGGGGGTCGGGGGAGGCCGGGGCGCCCTGGGCTGCTTGGTGGGCTTGGGCTGCTTGTTGGAGGTTTTGTACTCAACAGAGGAGGCGGTGAAATGGAAGGAGGACAGCATGGAGGAAGGCTTCGTAGGCCACGCGTTCTCCTTGCTGGACGACAGCTGAGGGATGCCCAGGCTGGCTTCCACCTCGGAGTCGGACAGCATGGGGCACAGCTTGCTTCTCTTGATTTCCCTCAGGTCCTTCCCGTGGAAGTGGAAGGGGGTCTCGCAGGTGATGTCCCCCACCAGAGCAGTGTAGGGGATGCGCTCCAACCAGCTCTTCAGCTGCACGATCTCACACGTACAGTTCCATGGGTTCTCCTCCAGCTGGATCTCCATCAGGCTCCTGCCAATATGGTCCAACATCCCGCGGTAGGAAAGGACTTTCAGCCGGTTCCCGCGCAAGTCCAAGTGGGTTAAGGACACAGACTTAAATAAATTGGTGGGAAGCATGGGGATGAGATTGTCGTTTAGGATAAGGACCCTCAATTTACTTAGGTTTCGAAATGCCCCGCTTTCAATCCGTTTAATGACATTGTAATCTGCCTGCAGATATTCCAGACTTTCCAAACCCAGGAAAGTGTCGTTCCTGAAGATGTCCAATTTGTTTTCGTGCAAATACAACCTCTTCAGAACTCGGAGCCCATTAAAAGCCCCTGTCTGAATGTCCTGCAGTGCGTTGTTCCCAAGGTTAATAGACACAGCATTGTTCAAGTGAAGAAAACTGTTGGTGTACAATTTCCTCATGGAATTCCTCTGCAGATAAAGTTTAAAAGGTCTCGACCATGACTCTGTTATCTGACTAATATTTATAAATCCTTTGTTGTCACAATGTATATGGAAAAGGCTCTCCTTCACTTCACAGTAACATGGATCAAAGCAGGGCTCATCCAGTTCCTCCGAGTCCTCTATCAAGGGAATAGGTGTAGTCCATGCTAGAGCAATTGTGCTTAGAAGAATTATCCACAACATCCTTCCTTTATGAAGCGTCTCTGCCGTGGAAGGTTTCATCATTTCTTGGTGTTTACAAAACTGCAATGGGAAGAAAAATGCAGATTTCAGTGTTTCTGCCCTGCCCCGCTCCTTCTACTCAAGCCCCTACCTGCCAGACTCGTGTTAGGCTCTTGGAAAGTTCAGCAGTTGTTGGGCAGACGTTCACAACCAACTCCAGGGGTGTGGGATGGGCGAGCCTTGCCCTGATTTATACTTAAGAGATGGTAGACGGTTCCATCACGCGATAGCAGCCTCCCTTCTCCCCCTCCCCGTGGTAAATGCCACCTATAAAGAGGACAGCACATGCAGCCCCACACAGCAACACGAGCACACACGGGATGGACGTGTTGCATCTCTCTACACGATTTCCACCGTAGGACCGGCATTTGCAACTCCACAGATCTCACACCCGGGTGCTTTGTGGCCATCACAGCCCGCATCGGCTACGGGGGGTGAAACACCCGGTGGGCAGAATTCTCCGGTGTCGCACTCCATCCTGCAGCCATGCAAACTCCCAAAGTTATTGAGCCTCAGCCCTCGAACCCCTCTCCCTCCCGGCTCAATGTATTCCACACGTAAGTTCCAAGGAGTGTGCAGGGCTTGCTGATGTCCCTGGCAGAACAGTTCCCCCTCAGAAATCCCCACAGCATCTTCACCGGAGCAAACGGTTAACAGCCCTCCCTGATGCGAAAGGGAAGCTTCCCCTCGCAAATGCGCCGGTGAATTAATGCAACTGGTATATTATCAGATAAATACACGCCACATATTAGTCATTTTAGCTGATTAAAGCATTTAGAGATGATTAATCTTTCTAAAGCACATGCCCATGCGATCAGCAGATCTAAAGGGAAGTGACAGCTAAAGAGGCACCTAGGATTGAAACGCTCAGCCTGCCTCGGATTAGGGCATTTTGTGCCCCCAGGACCAAGCAGGAGACCCGGTTAAAAAGCTGAAAGTGGAAGAGGAAAAAAAAAAAACAAAACAAACAAAGCCTTGACACTTACCAGCCGATAAATTTGCTATCCTACTATATACGTTCCCGAATGAAGACACCATTCTTCTCCAATCAGATGAAAATAATGCTGCACTAATGAGATGCAGCTCCTTCAACATATGGTTTCACCCTTCCTTCCACCAGATATTTTAAATGTATGGGCACAGAGGAACGCTAAGGATGGTAATAATAACGGCGGTGATGCAGCCTTCCTTGAATCCCTGAAATGCCCATTAGAACCATTCGGAGCGATCGTCGCTTTTAGTCCTAATCTCTCAATAGAAAAGGTCCTTTTTGCCTTCCTCGTGTAAAAGAACTAGAAAAATTTGCCCCCCATCCACAAACTTAAGAGCAGAAGGATGCATTTAGGGGAGAGAAATGCCAGAGGAACAGAAATCCTTAGGATCAACTTGCAAATGAAACCCTCCCCTGTGGGAAAGAGGAGATGGTTGAAAGCACGAAAAGAGAAATACCCTCTGCAATTAAAACCAGCATCTAATTGGGGAGAAGGGAGAGAGATGAGAGCTGTATTGCAGTATCAGTCTCTCTGTCTCCTTTGCAAAATATTAAGTTCTTTCTCTTCTGCAAGGGCTGTAATAAAAAATAAAAAAAAATAAATAAAGAGGATTATTATATCTTCTTTTTGGAAGAGGGGGGTGTCTTTGACCCTAGGCGGAAACAAAAGGATCCAGAAAGGTTGTACTTACCGGTTTGCAGGAGAGATTTTAGCTCATCGTTACAATAGCAAAAAAGCAAAAGAGGGGAAGGGGG